GCGCAGACAGCGGCGCGGCAGTGTGTGACGTCACACTAGTTTGCTTGTTTTCGGTTGGGGAGTTCTATCCACTAGTTCGGTTTTAGGTAGCAATTTTAACCAGAATAGGGGTTTGTTTTGGGGCGCTTACCTTTCTGGGTGCCTGTTCCAGTCGATGGCAGACATAGAATGCTTCCACTAACACGGGGGCTTCTATAGGCCATTGCTCCCCTTGCCTCTCTGAGGGGGCCTGGTTCTGGCCGTGGTCCCCGGTAGGCCTAAGAACTCCATACACATGACTGATGCCAAAGTCTGACATTAGCATATCAGCCTGGGATAGCTCCGGGGAGCCGACGGGGCTCCCCCCAGAAAAATGCTTATGCAACACAACTTCTGCCTGAGACCTCAGAATATTCATCGGGGAATGGGGGATGTGCAGTACACGATGGGAACAAGTCCCACATGTCTCATGGTCATAGATATATGGAATGTCACCCTGAGGCACAGGTGACAAGCAACCCTCAAATGCAAACATGGCGAGCATGGGCTAGGAAGAAGTACCCATGTACAACCGAGTCCGCAGGGGTTTCCTAGGGCTTGCATGGTATGTGCCCCTGCAGGAAGCCCAGGCACTGGGGCCAGGTATGCCAGTAAAACTGTGTCAGTGCAGGCAACTAAAACACTAGAAGCCTCTAGGAAAGCCCAGGGACGGGGGGGGGTAGCAAGGAAGTTCCACTGCAAGCACACTATGCATGTCTAATAAGGCAAAATACAGAACTCCATAGCAGAAAGCAAGTGAACTAACTGCTAGCGAACTAGAAGTGAACACCCAAAAATCCCCTAGATCCAACAGCGACAACAAGCAGCTTGGAAGAAACATCGGCACACTGTCGCTAGCTGAAGAGTAGGCAATGCCACAAGCAAAACACACTCCCTAACCCAGGGCAAGACAGAAAGTCCTAGACCTCTGGCTTATCCCAAGGGCAAGGACCACCTCAAGCAAGAAAGCAGGAGTGTTTTTCAAATGCCCAAGGGAAGGGAACCCTGACCATGTAAGGAGGTAGTACTTACAGAGCGCACAGGGTGACCCTGTGTTCATGCAGCTCCAGTACACTAAACTCCTGGCTCACTCACACCTCCATATATAAACACTATCACAAGGGCAAAAACACCAAAAAAAAAATGAGGACACGGAGTGAGAGCAAAAGCAACCCATTCTGCACACTACATCAGTCAAGAACTGGGCTGGTGGCACTGGGCCGGCTCGCTCTTCCCTCTAACGAGATGGGAGGTGGAGTTAACTAGCTGATTGGTTGGTTGGATGAAGATTTGGTTGGTTGTTTTCTTTTTGGGTGAGTTTTAGTTCTTTTGATATTTTGAGGGCATTGGTCTGATTTTTCAACCATGCAGCAGTTTCTCTTGATTTGCTTACCTGCTAGTGCTAACCTGGTCGTCTGCAAGATGATAAACTTTACATTTAAAGTGTTTGCAAGTCATTGCTCCTTGTGCCTCTGTGAGGGGACCAAGTTTTGGTTCATGGACCCCACTAAGCAAACAAGAACTCTATAACTGATGACACTCAAGTAGTATGGCACCTAATCAGTAAGCTAGCTTCAGGGAGCCAAAGGGGCTCCCCCAGAAACCACCACTAAGCAGCAACAGCAAAACACTGGAGCCCAAGCATTAGAGTGGTGACCAGGAACACACTGCGCACTTCAGCATAGCACTGAAGGTGGTGTAGTCAGCTGACTGCAAGCTACCTCACTCCTCACCCCAAATGAGTGAGGGAGGTAGGGTGAATGAACTTGCACTATTTTGGAGACATTTCAATAATTTGTTTACACAGTTAAGGTGAGTTCTTTCACCGTTTCTTGAGGCTACGGTCTCTAAGTCAGCTCTATTTAGCCCCTCTGTTTAGTATCTGGTTGCTTCCCCAGTGATGACAAAAATAAGTAAATAAATAAATGCCACCAGTCCCTGCACCTTTGAGGTAGGGCCAGCTTCTGGAGGGGGTCCCTAGTAGGCCTATAGAATTATGCAGCTGATGCGACCTAGCAGTTAGCACACTATCAGCGATAGTAACTTCAAGGAGCCACAAAGGGTTTCCCCACCCCAGAAAACCACTGACAAACTAATCAGTATAAATTATATTTGCAGCAGCTACCACTGCCCACCTGGCCTGAGCTACCTCCACAGGGCGTCTCATCCAACAGCACTCGTGAATTGGTGACGGAATCAAGAGATTTCCTCCCTCTACCACAGTCAAAGCAAGGTACATAATTTTTTGTAACTTCATGTGATCATGGAATGCATTTAAACAATATTTGAAAGAAACAAATTAAAGTTTGTTTGTGTGCAACATAGGCAGGTCATGAAACAGGTGGGCAGTGCAGGAGTTAAGAAGTAAGCCAAAATAAAAAACATTTCTTAAACTCTGAAACTAACAATCGTAAGCTACCTCCCATCAGATGATCATCACACCGGGTAGAGGTTAGAAAACATTATATATGCAAAAACTAGATGATAGAAGAAAAAGATGTAATATGATCGCTACGTGCAAAATAGTAACAGGAATCAATAAAACTGATAGGGAAGAATTCCTGAGACCTGGAACTTCAAGAACAAGAGGTCATAGATTTAAACTACCTAAACAAAGCTTCTGAAGAAATAAGAAAATTTACTCTTGCCAACAGAGTGGTAGAGGGTTGTAACAAGTTAGGTGACAAGGTGGTGGAGGCCAAAACCGTCAATAGTTTCAAAGCATTATATGACAGTGCTGGGAAGACTGGATACTATGAGCATAGCTCTCATCCTGTAACTACACGTAGGTAGTTACTACACACTGTAACCTACAATGCCGTGATCACAGAACACAGATATTTTCCCCCAAAAGGTCACCACATCATACCACTACACATTGCCACCTCCAACTCCATTATCACAGAACACGCACATATCCTCCTCCCCCCCCCCCCCCTCTATCCAAATGGTTATTGTATCACTACATGTTACCACCTCCAATGCCACCATTTAACAAAGTTAAGAATGATAGTTCATATTTTGACATTAATCAACTATTTCTTCTATATTTTTTGCTAAATTTATATATAAAAAGGATTGCGTGTTCAAAGTACTGTACTGTACTAGTATTCATGTTAGAGATAAGATTTGTTAATTTTCAGATACTTGAAAAATATTTTTTAAGCCAACATAATTCCAACAATTATATTTAAGTCTGGTAATGGTATACAAGAGGAAAATGCAGTCTTACACAAACAAGTGAATACAGTAACCTTCATGGAAGGCAGCAGTGGTGTGCAGTGACCTTGAAACAAATCCAATAATCCACCACGCATTCAGTTTCTGCATCACTGCCATGAGCTAAAAACTGATTCTTGAACTTGATCACAATTTAAAATTCTTGGCATTGTCATTTACAGAACGTTTTATTAATATGGTAAATTTTTTACGGCAATTTTAGAAATACAGTATACAAGAAAAACATAAGGAATAATATAATGTTACTAGTGCTGAAATTTTATTGATTCTCCAAGATATATTTTAAATAATACCAACATTAAACCATTTGAAATTCTGATGCATAACAAATTATTTATCCTAATGTAATTTTAAATGTAACTATAATACTGATATGGGCTTTACAAGTAAAGGCTGAACTTAAGGGTGTATCACAGAATCTGGGTCCAAGTGTCTGAGTGGCACAATAAGTACTTCAACATTTTTGCTTGTAAACACTAAACAATTATAGAACAGACTAAATTCATATAAATCATATATTCATAAATCTATTACCAATCTTATTTTCATAAATCTATTACCAATCTTATATTCATAAATCTATTACCAATCTTATATTCATAAATCTATTACTAATCTTATATTCATAAATCAATCACCAATCATATAAAGTACAGTACTCACAAATCAATCACCAATCATATTCATTAACCTACCACTAATATTACATTCAACAACCAATTTCCAATCATATATTCACAAATCTTGCCACCACAAATTTACCATATCAACACATCTACCATATCACTATCACATATCTTACATCTACCAAAAATCTTACATTCCCTAATTTGACACAACTTAACACTTTCGCGGGAGGCGTCCTGTTTCGCCTACCCGCTCCCGCTATGTGGACATAAACTTATGTCCTCTTTTAAAATATTTGTACAAAATTCAATTTTTATCCGATTTACTTTGGGTTTGTTTCAAACTGTGCGCCATGAGGCTCTCTTTCTCACCAATAGGCTGCATGGTACAATAAGTTCATGAAAGGTTCACAAACATAACAAAAGTAAAAACATTTCGTGTGTGTTTGACTCTCACTGATATGTTCCAGCGTTGTTTTATATTTGGCGCTATTCTATCTTACGCTTTGTTGATCTTTTTTACCTACGGGCTCATAGAATATTCTATTGCGAACACATTGACACAAAAATGAATGACGTACATAGAATAATAATGTCATGAGAATGAAATAAGTATAAACTTTCAAAGCGCCGTGCGTCGTCCCGTCACCGACACCGGGTAACAATTTCACCACTTCCCACACTCTTGCGGGCGGGCCGCAATCATTATTCTACGCTTGTATTCATATCACCGTGTTGGGAATTTCATTGCAAGTCCATTGATACCAAAATTAACGCTGTAGGACAAGTGTGGAGGTGATAACAATCCCAAGAGTAAAAACATTTTGTTGCTGTTGGGCGCTCACGGCGAGTCATCTTCGTAGTTATTTATTTGGTGCTGGTATCCCTATACGTTTCGTGACTTTTTTTTACTGATGTTCTTCTAGAGAATTTTATTGCGAACACGTTGGTACCAAAATGAAATATGTAGCTCGAGAACTAAGGTCAGGAAAGTAAAAAGAGTATACACATTTTTGTTTTTACGCTTACGCGGCAAAACGCCGGGAGCACTTACGGTTGTTTTTTTTACATTCGCCGGAAGCCTGAAAGTGTTAATACATTTGGCGAGCCACTCACCTGCAAGAGTGCCAGAGCCACCTGAAAGACCGAGTCTATTCCAGTGAGAAGGAAGAGATCAAGGTAATGGAACACCATGAATAAGGGGAATTTAGCCGTGTAGAGTGTAAGGAACCACTGGCTAGCAAACATGTGGATCTCGACTCCCTGATCTTGGAAGTGTAGCCACAACTCGGGCAACTGCTCCTGTTATGAACCCAACACAAGACAACAGTATCAATAACAATCTTAACTGTACATATAATTTTTAATTGGGCCTGAATACTTTTTTTTTAAGCATATTGTTTAGCATATATTTTGTTTTTTGTATAAAGATAATTACATTTAATCCAATAGTGTAAAACTGAATTATGTGCATAAATAGCATTAATCTTGGTAACATTCTAGTATTGATTACTACTGCCACTTTATCAACATATTCAAATGCCGAAACATTTCACTCGAACTCAACCGAAAAAAGTTCTTATTCCAAAGAATAATTACTAACACAGATACTTACTTCCATTAATTTTGCAAGCTGATAAAATCTCATGTGGAGGATCTCAAAGCCATCCTTGAATAGATCTCGCAAGCCATACTCAAACATTATCTTGACTAGTACACAAAATGTCTGTTCCTCTGGCATCTGTCAAATAATTAAAAGAAATTCAATATTTAATTTAGTTGCAATTTCATTTACTGAAACAATAGTACTTCATGTAAAAAAAAAATTAAATTATATACACATTCACAATACAGTACATACCAAATTGCTTAAAAATAACCCAATGCATTTTTTTATAAATATTTAAATAAATATACGGGTATTTATATAATTATTTGACAAACTCTTGTGCCCATTTTAGGAATCCAATTGGATGGTTTCCCAGTTGCTCTCCTCCCTATTCTCTCTCTCTCCATCTCTCTTCAGATGGTGTGCAACAGCAAGTATTGTTTAAAACTCGGACCATGTTCCATTTTTTCACATGGTACTATGATGTTGTCCTTTCCCCTACTTCTTTCTAGGGTAGTGGGAGGATGTACTTCCCCTTCCCCCCCCCCCAATGAAACTGTGTAGGGTGGAGGCTCTTGTGTTCTTTTTTTTCTAGAGTGGCTGTGTGGGGTATTTTGGCAGTCCTTCCTTTTTCCTTCTGTCCCTTCTTAGGTGGCTGTATTTTGTTGGCGTGGTCTTATTCTTCCCTTATGTGGGTTCGGGGTCGTCATTTTGACGCATACTGTCGCCTTGTTTCGTGTAGTGTGGGGGGAGCCGCTTCCACTTGCGTTCGGTGTTGATGTTACTTCTGCGTCGTTCTGCTAGCTGTCTCGTGCGTTGGTTCACCTCCAGCCTGCTCGTGTGCCGTCTGAGCCGTCCTGGTCGTGGGACTGGATGCTCTCTCTTTTCTTCTCCTCAGTTCTTGTGGCCCCCTACAGTTCCGGTTTGTTTCTCAGGGGCTCTTTTCCTGTTGGCATTGGCCTCAGGGGGGTCGGGTTGGTGAGCTTCACGCTCTCCTCCGGCGCTGGGGTTTCTGCTCCTTTGATCGGGGCGATTGTTTTGTTTCTCTGCAGCCTTCTTCTTTTCTGGCGAGGGATGAGACTGCTGCTTTCTGGAGGGGTCTCTGGTTTGTTGATGCCTTGTTGGTTTGGCCGGGGGTGCATCATGTTTTGTGGCCGGTTGCGGCTCTCCACCGTTATTGGCGCGCCATGGCTTCTGTGTTTGTCGATGTGCTTAGAGTTGGTTCAGTTTCCCTTCTTCCCTGTTCGCAGGTGCGGGTCTCCGAGGTCATTCGCGGAGTTATTAAGGCTGGCCAGCCTGCGGTCTCTCCCCGTGCCTGTGACGTTTGCAGATTCGCGGCTCTTACTGCTGTTCCTTGGGAGTGTGTCTTGGGCGAACATTCAGGCGTGGGGATTTTGGCGGTCAAACAGGGTCCAGGCTGCTCGTTGCGTCCCTAGGCCCAGTTGGGCCTGTGTTGCTTTGGGTTGGAGGTTGCGGCCAGTTGTCTCGCTTCATGTTGAGTTGCGAGTGATGGCCGCTTCCCGGATACGTCCCTTAGACCTTCCTCTGTAGGTAGTTAGCTCCGGGAGACGATGGGGCTTCCCCCAGAAAACCAGGGTTGAATGTAATGAAACACCATTTTCTGGGTGAGACCGGTCGGCAGTTTTTCGCGTGTTTTGACATCCAGCCTCAGAACTGATGGGTGGATAGCCGGCGTGAGAAGTCTGGGTCTCCCCCTTCCCCCTCCCAGGGAGGGGGGAGCTGCGCAGACAGCGGCGTGGTGAGGTGTGACGTCATACTAGTTTGCTTGTTTTCTGTTGGGAGTTCTATCCACTAGTTCAGCTTTTGGTAGCAATTTTAACCAGAATAGGGGTTTGTTTTGGGACTCTTCCCCTTTCTGGATGCCTGACCCGGTCAATGGCAGACATAGAATGCTTCCAACCACACGGGGGTTTCTATAGGCCATTGCTCCCCTTGCCTCTCTGAGGGGGGGCCAGGTTCTGGCCGTGGTCCCCGGTAGGCCATAGAACTCTATACACATGACTGATGCCAAAGTCTGACATTAGCATATCAGCCTGGTAAAGCTCCGGGGAGCCTCCAGGTCTCACCCAGAAAACGCCGTTTCATTACACTCAACGCTGGTTTTTTGACTGCTGCTCCTACCTACTAAGTTACTTTTAGTGAGTAGTGGATTTTGACTCCAAGATCCTTTTCTTCATTAACTGACTGGCAGTGGTTCTTGATTTTAATTTTGCATATGTGAAGAAATATTTTGTGCTTTTCGTTATCTCTTGTATTGCTTTATCTTTTTTTTTTTTCTTTTTTTTTTTTTTAAGATATATACAAGAGTTGTTACATTCTTGTACAGCCACTAGTACGCATAGCGTTTCGGGCAGGTCCCTGGAATACGATCCCTGCCGCGAAGAATCGTTGCTACAACCAAGTACACATTTTACTGTTGCGTTAAACAGAGGCTACAGTTAAGGATTTGCGCCCAGTAAATCCTCCCCGGCCAGGATACGAACCCATGACAAAGTGCTGCGGAATGCCAGTTGCATTATCTTTATCTCTTGTAGTGCTTTCTGATCTAGTTGCAGTTCTTCAATCTGATATGATTGCTTCAGTCTCTGCTCTTATTTCTTCAATCTCCCTGTTTAAATTATTCCTTCTTTGTAGGGATAGAGATATCTGCTTAAGCATTTGCTATTTTTTGCCTTCTTTCATAGTGCCATTGCATTCTCTTTATATGTTGGTCTTCTTTCTGGCTTTCTGTGAAGGAGCACGTTTCAGATAGACTTTATATGCTTCGGAAATCAGTTCTTTTCATTATAGTATTGAAATTGAATTTACTGAATAACCCATCTCGCTTACCATTTTTTTAGGCTTATTACAAGTACTGATGTTAGTTGGCACTTCAATGAGCTTGTGATCTGAGTATGTGGTATCTGTGATTGTAATGTCCCCTGATTATTTCTTCATTCTTTGTGAAGATCAGATCTAGAATATTTTCATTCTTAGTTGGCTCCATTTTCTGCTGGTTGAGTGAAAATTTGTCACAGAATCTAAGTAGTTTTGACTTGTGGTTGGTTTCTAGATAGATTTCCTGGCTATTATTATTGTTTGATATTTCCCATCTTAGACTGAACAGGTTGAAGTCTCCTAAGAAGATAACATCAGGTATTGGGTTTGCCAGATTGTTGAGGCTATTCTCTATTTTGTTTATCTGTTCTGTGAATTCCTCCACTGTGGCATCTGGCAGTTTGTACATTAGAATAATGAATAAACTTAGTTATTTTCTTTATTCTTATTTCAGTACTTCTACCACATTATTTGAAAAGTTAAGGAGCTCCGAGCATACAAGGTTCCCTCTAATATACAAACCTATTCCTCCATGTGACCTATTTACTTTATCACATCTATATACGTAGATTATATTCTGGTATTCAGGTCTCACTGTCTAAGAATTCCTCTGCATGAGTTTCTATAAAAGCTACAAATACTGCATTTGCCTCTGACAGGAGGCCATTTATGAAGGGCATTTTGGTTTTTGCTTGTTTTTAGTCCTTGGATGTTGGCAAAAATGAATGAGGTTACTGTATTTGGTGTATTTTGACTGGAAGGCTTTTCTGGCAGATCCATTGTGCATGGGCATATTGGGTTTGCTCTGGAACTGATTAAAATATATTTGAATTACAGGTATGTGAAAATTAATATTAAATGTTAAACAAATTTCCAATTTATTGGCTTCAGCGTCATGAAAGTTTCATCCCAATATTTTCAGAAATAGATTTTAGACAAATTTGTTTAAAAAGAAGAACGTTTTGTTGATAAAGAGAACAGCTGCTATTAACTGGAACTGAGGCATAATGCAGTAATAAAGAGATGCAAGCACCTGTCCAATGCACAAAGAAGAATAGTAGTTAGAAGTGCCCACAAAGTGGATATGTACCTAGTGCCTTTATAGCATTGCTGAGTAATACATAACACAAATAATAATGAGTAAGTATGTTATTATGCTCTATTTTGTTATATATCATACAAATACATTGTCCAATGGTAATACCTGTGACTTTCACCAATGTCCAATTTTTTTTTTTAGGGAGATTTTTTGTTTTTTTTTTTTTTTTCTTCTTTGTTTATTTTCTGATTTTGTTGTAACTTCTACATCCTGGAGAATGCATACCCGTCCCTAACTATGTTAAGATAGAATTAAATTGGTCAATAAATAAATCAGTCATAACTGGCAGAACTTGGGACTTTGAATTTTTTTTGGCTGATTTTTTTTCACAGATTTCAAACTCTATTTTCCTTGTTTCTTTAGATTGTTTTGATGATTAGGGACCAGATTAGGGCTTTTTGACTTATATAAAGTATACCCTAAATATATCCCCTAAATCATTATAATTATCCCTATATTTTGTTTTTTGGGGGTTAATTTTTCTTGACTTTATTTCAACAAATATTGACCTACAACTTTCACATATTCGAGTACGAATGCCAAACAATGCTTATTAAAACATACAAGTAAATTAATGAATTAGAACTACCTTATACATTGTCGATAACTTCAACTTCAATTATCTCTAAAACTAGAGTTTCAACATTGAGTCAGCTTAAAAAAATCCAGTTTCTGACCGATTCTCACCATTTTTACATATAGTGTGCGCCACTGTCTGTTCTACAATCCTATTAGAATGGATTTTTCATAAACTCTAAAAGTTTTGAGTTATAAATTTTGTTGTCTGAATTTGGTGCATATTTCAAATGCCATATTGACGATTTTTTTACAGTAAACTAAACTGAAAATCTATATTCTAAATCTATTAAAATGAAGATCATATACTATTCTGAGAGCATAATAACACTTAATGAACAATTGGTGATATTTAATATTTTTGCAGCTGATCTGAAAATCTGAAATTTTCAATATTAAATTTTATAATTATTTTTAATTTTCTTGTTTTTCAAGTTATGTTGATGATCATTTAGACAAAGTTGGAGTGTTTGGAGTGATTATGCACAAAAAATTGGAAAGCGTTAGAACAAGTTTGAAAAATTAAACTTATGGTGCCATCGGGTTCTGTTGTATATATACGCCATGCGCAGTTTAATTATGAAACTTCTTTCATTAGTACATTTGTTAGTTTTGCAAATAATTTACCAATGTATACAGTATTCTAAGACTCACATGCAGTAGCAATGCAGCAGCCAAGAAAGATAAGCCCTGACAGTAGCCCACTTCTTCATCATAGACAGCATATGCCTTGCTGATCTTATAGAGTGCATCTTGTCCCACACCCCCAGCTTCCTTGAAGTAGTCATGAGCAGGGAATGTGCGATTGATGTCTCGGAGAATCACCTGTTCACTGGCACAGTCCTAAGGAACATATGAATCAAAGCTGTTTGAATATATAAAAATATGTCCATGTGAAAATACTGTACAGGTGGCCCTCAATTTGTGTGGGGAGGGGGGGGGGGTTCAAGTTTCTGCAAAAGTCATGCAAATTAACCTGAAAAGCTATATAGCATGGATGTGCTTAGGACACAGAATTAAAAAGTTAATTGTTTCCACTGTTTACTTGACAAAACATCTTTTCTTGGGGGAAGCCCCGTCAGCTCCATGAAGCTCCACTGATCGGTGCCATAGTATCAGGTACCATCAGTTGCTGAGTTCTATTAGCCTACCGGGAACCACGGGCTAGAGCCTAGTTCATTCAGAGAGGCACAGGGAGTGATGGCCTATGAAAACTTTAAATGTAAAGGTTAACACTTTGATACACCGGGCGCGGGACCTCCCCACTACCCCCGGACGGCCTGAGCGTTCCACGGGAGCGCGGGGAAGAGCGCGGTAAATTATGAAAATTGTATAATCTTTTCAACTTTGTCAGCTCAATTCTCGTTCTAAGATATTCAATTTGGTATCTATATGTTCGCAATAGAATTCTCTACAAGACTAAATGCATATACTGTAAACTCCAAAAGCCCGGCTTACCATCCGCAACTAACAGAGAAAGTGAGAGAAAGTTACCCGGGAGCGCGCAAGAGTGATAAAATGTTTACACTCTTTTCAGTTTTGTCAACTCAATTCTCGTCCCAGGACTTTCATTTTGGTATCAATGTGTTCGCAATAGAATTCCCAACAGGCCTATATGCATATAATATAAAAAACATCAGCGATCTCCACCCGCCGACATGATGAAAACAGGCCGCGGTTACAAGAAAGAGAGCGCTGCGCCACCCCAAAGCGCTTCTCACTATGAAAAGTGAATAATCTTTTCAACTTTGTCATCTCAATTCTTGTCCTAGGTTTTTCAATTTGGTATCAATGTGTTTGCAATAGAATTCTCTACAGGACTAAATGCACATAAAGGCCAAAAGCCTGGCGAGAAAGTGAGAGCGTGTTACTCAGGAGCGAGCCAGAACAATAAAATGTGTACACTCTTCACTTTGGACATCTCAATTCTCGTCTTAAGTCTTTCATTTTGGTATCATTGTCTTCGCAATAGAATTCCCTACAGGAGTATGCAAATATAAAGTCCAAAAGCCCAGCGTAGCAAACAGAGAAAGTGACGGAGCATAATCCCAGTGAGCACCAATAAAATGGGTATTCTGTTTTCTACTTTGTTATCTCAATTCTGGTCCTAGGACTTTAATTTTGGTATCAATGTATTCACAATGAAATTCCCTACAAGCGTATATGAATATAATGTGCAAAACCGCAGCAAAACCTTCCTGAAAAAAACGCTACTGTTGCCGCGCTTAGGACTCAATGCCGAGTCCTCGCCGGACTTGCCCCTGTTTTGCGGAGGACTCAATGCTGAGTCGTCACCGGGCGAAAGTGTTAATTATACTTCCTACCACCAGGAAAGCACCTAGAAAGGAAGGTGAACCAAAGCAAGCTATGGCATGGTTTAAAAAAGGGACTGCAGCCTCAACATTACCAAAAGAACTCCCCCAACAATTAAAACAAACCAACACAATTTTGCTGCTAGTTTGGTCCACCGTGCCCCTTATTTGGGAAGAGGGAGCGGATACTGGGTCAACTGGCTTGCCCCATTCTCAGTTCTAGCTGATGTGTGCCCTGGTCACTATGTTGTTCTGGGTCCAGTCTCCCATTTTGGAGTGGTGTTTTGACTTTGAGGCTAATTTTTACATGGGTGTTGTGCATGACCCAGGAGTTTAGAGTACTGTACTTAAGAACTGCAGGTGCTCAGGGTTTCCTTCCCCGTGCGCTCTAATTGTACAGCCCTTGGGTGGTCAGGGTTTCCTTCCCTGGGGCATTCGGGATATTCTTCATTTAGGAGGCCTCCTTGCTGGGGGGGGGGGGGAGGGTGGTGCTCACCCTCAAGTTAAGCCGGTGGTCTGTAGCTGTCTGTCTTCCCTGGGGTTGGGAGTATTTTTGGCTGGTGGGGTGCACCAGGAGTTGCACGATCAGCTATTTATTCTATTAGTACACAAGGGAGTTTAGTTGCCCGTTCTCCGCGATTTGGTCTTGGGGGCTTTTTTATTTTTGTTATTTCCACTTTATCCCTTTTTTTGCTTAGGTTTCTGATTTTTGCCTTCTTAGGCTTGCCTAGGATGTGTTTAACTGAACTCCCTTGTTGGCCCCTTTGACCTTTCTACTGGCTTCGAGTGGCTAGGGCTGTCTGTTATCTGCAGGGTTCACCTGTATAACATATAAAGTGCCTGGGCTTCATGCAGGGTGCTTACCCTGCAGGACCTGGAAATCCCCAATGAGCTTGGCTGTTCCGAGCCAACTCTCGCCTTGTGTGAATTTGAGGGTTGTTTGTCACCTGTGCCACCTGGTGACATTCATACATTGTGCCTTGGTATGCTGCCTGTTGGGTCGGTGACAGCTATGACCCAGAGTCATGTGGAATTTGTTCTCCCCATGTGCTCTAGCTTACCTGCTCCTCTGTTGAAGTTCAAAAGTTTCAGCCAGTGATCACTTTGTATTCTAAATTTTCAATTTTGCAGCAGTCTAGATTTGTGCCTGGTTGGATGCCTTTGATCTGCCCCACTAAGTGTTTAGGGACTCGGATTTGGGGGTGTTGTTCAACTCAACCGTGGTTCTGTCTGCACCACCTCTTTCTTCCTCTGTGGGCCAGCTTCGCCTTTCTTCTCTTCCTCTATTTTCGACTCCAAAGCATCTAAGGCTTCAGTTTCAAGGCATTGTTTTGCTCTGGATGTGGCATAGGCAGATCCGGGGATGGCCATGTATGAGTTTGATTTGGGTGCGGCTGTGCTCAGGGTTCGTTTCCATTTTCCTTTGGGTTCCTCAGATTTGTCTTTCAGGAGGTTTTCTTCCTCCCGTGTTTCCCTTGGCGGAGGCTTGGGAGGCCATTGTTTCTTACCTCCAGCATGTTCCAGTTTACGCCTCTGTCATGGATCGGCCTCTTTTGAGTTCTGGGTCTTCCCTTCCATATTAAGTGTGTTAGGAGGTTGCAGAGTCATCCTGGCTGGCACTCTGTCCTTTGTTTTTCCTTTAGGCTTGGTGCAGGTTTACCATTCTCACATGCTTGATTGGCAAGAGGTGTCAACTGTGTTGCAGATGTTTCTTGGGGGTTCTTTTTTAGCCTCTCAATGCATGCCTCTTTGCTCCTGCCCTTCCCCATTATGTAGGTCTTGTGCACCTGCATGCTCAGATTTACATTCTGTCGGCTACTTTGGTTGCTGATGACTTGGGTTCCTGTTCACACTTGGTGCCTGTTGTGCATTTGTAAGCCTCTTGGAGCTTCACTGTGATAAGCTCATGGAGGATGTGGAAGCCCTCAGTGAGTTTCCTTTTGAAGGGGTTTTGGTCTCTGTGGCTTTGGCTTTGACTGCCATCGTGAAGCTGTATACTCTGATCTTCTGGGAAGTAGTCTCCATATTTTCGCCTCTCGTCTCGTGTCGGCAAATTGTGCTGGCCCGGTCTCCAGACTCGATGTGGGCCCTGCCTCTTATTTCGGCTATGCAATTTAGTTCCTTACTCTTTCCCCAAGGACACGGTGTCCCTGCTTTTGCCTGCGGCTGTAGCTGGTTGCTGTCCTGTTTTAGATTTGTTGCGTGTCTTTGGGGGGGGGGGGAGTTGTCGGTCTGGATTTTCCTGGCAGTTTGGTAGAGCCAGGCCTTTGCCTGCTGTTGGTCAAGGTGGAGTCTTTGTGGTGCCAGCAGCTGGGTCGTACTTGCTTCCTTCAGCCTCAGCCTCTTCATTTTGTCAGCAACTTGTTTGCTCTGCTCAGAAGAGCAAACACGGAAGAGTGCCATGTTTGCTTCGCTTGTGGTTCGCCTCGACCCTTTCTCAGGTCACCCCATTGACGGGGTTGTATGGAGAGGCTAGCTCGGTTTGCCAGCTTTAGTCCTGCAATATGTGGGCATTTCAGGTTATGTTTTGTGGCCAACCAACCTCTACAGTGGAGTTGGTCGGTCCTACCTCCTCTTGAGAGTTCGGGCCAGACCTCCTCTCCTTACCTCTGTTGAATCATCTCGGAGTGGGTGCATTCAGGGGTGGTCAAAATGATCATGTCCCTTTACTGGATTTCCTGCATGTTTCCGGTCCTGAAATGGGATTGTTTGGATCTCTGGTTCATACTCAATCTATCCCGATTGAACTGGTGTACACCTTGCTCTCGAGTCAGATTCTTGGATGATTTCTCTGGCCCTCCAGTATGCATATTGGCATGTCCCTATCCATCCGAGGTTCAGGAAGTGGCAAGGTTTCATGATGGAGCAACAGGCTTTCTACTTTCGGGTTGTAACTGAATCTGGCATTTCGTATTTTTATGTGGTTGACTCGAGTTGTGATGTCCTGTCATTGTTAGGTATTCAGATGTTGGCCTACCTCGACAACTGGCTGGTGTGGGCACCCAGCCGGTTCGCTTGTCTGCTAGCCAGTGATCTGGTTCTTACTCAGCTCACTGGGTTTGGGTTCCTGTGAACTGGTGGAAGTCCCAGTTGGTTCCAAACCAGGTTCGAACCTGGCTGGGTCTTGCTTGGGATTCTCAGTCGGCGTTACTTTCCCTATCCCCAGTGGCCTTGTCCTGGCTTCAGAGCTGCCGCCTGTTGGTGTTGAGGGGGAGCTGGGTGACTCAGCAGTTACTCGAGCAGCTGTGCAAGAGCCTGAACGTTGTCCTTCTGGTTTACCTGTTAGCAGGATTTGGCTTTGGAGGCTGTTCTAGTTTGTCTGGGGCAGCCCCTTTTGCTTCTATCGCGATTGCTGGGTGCGGATTCCGGGAGCTCTATGCTGGCTGTTGTATCACCAGCTTCCTCTTTGGGTTTTTTGGGGTTAGGTTCCCTGGTGTCATCCTCCGCCTTCCCTCAATGTGTTCAAAGATGCTTTAGCGATTGGTTGAGGCTTTGCGCCCAGCACCCACCAGTCCAGCCAGGGTCGTTGATACCCTCTCCTTTGTAGGGCACACAATACTGTGTGGGAGTTGGTGGCGGTGTGGCAGGTGCTGCGGAAAGTTCAGATTCCTCCGGGCTCAGTGACTTCATTCTGACTGATCCCTCATAGTTCATTGTCTCAACCTGAGGGGCGGTCTTTTCAATCCATGCTTCTTTGGGTCTGGTCGCTTCAGATAGCTCATCTGCCAAGTTCCCAGGGTTTGCATCTATGTGCCATTCACATCCATGGAGCGTCCAACATCCTGGCCGATGGTCTGTCCCGATTCCTTCTCCTTTCCACTGAATGGACTGTCGACACCAATTCCTTCCTCTGGCTTTGCCCACGTATGGGCGTCCAGATGTCAACCTCTTCACATCAATATGTTCTCGGCATCTGCCTCTTCACGTTCCCTAATCGCAAGACCCTTGCGGTGAACACCTTTCAGCTGAACTGGTTGAGTGGTGACCCAGTATGCTTCCCTCCTCTCCCAAAGTGAGAAGGGTTTTGGGGCAAACCAGCTGACGCTAGTTTCACAAAATTTTGGTGGTTTGCTTTCATTGTTGGGGGAGTTTTTGTGGCAGTTTTGAGGCTGCTGTCTTTTTTTTTTTTTTTTTGACCATGCATGGTTTGTTTTGGTTCACCTACCTTTCTGGGCTTTCCTGATGATGGCAAGTATGACTAAACTTTAAATGTAAAGTTTCATAGACTATTGTGCTTCCTACACATCTCTAAGTGATGGGGGGGGGCAGGTTATGGTTCTATTAGCCTGGTAGGCCAATAGAACTCTGCAACTGATGGCACCTGATAGTATGACACTGATCGGTGTATGATGGCTTCAGAAGCCTCTGGGGGCATACCTTAAGATTGACATTTCATTCCATTAAATGCTGCTTTTTTAATCCATATAATGTGGTCATTGAAATCACAAGCTGCCTGTATAATATCTATGTAGTACATACACTTTGTAAACAGCAACACTGTCATTTACCTGAGAATAGTGTATAAATACACAGAACTTAAAAAATTATAAATACTGTTAATAATGCCCATAATCAAGTGATACAATAAGCAAATTAATTAACTACTGATCAAATTACTAAAAATTGTTAAGGCAACTGCCTCCTCTTATTTTCTTAACTGTCTAGAATACTATACGGTACAATATGCAGAAAAGTAAAGCACCCGACAATAACTTACTTTCGTTATAAGTACTCTGTATGTTTCCATCATGTCCACATCATCAGAACAGCCAGCCAGCAGCTGCCATACTTCACCTCGGAGTGCTTCAGGAATACCTCGTTTAATTAGCCCTGATACCCCCTTTGGCAGTTGTTGAGGTGCTGCCTGCAACTTGGGAAGCACCTAGAAACATGCACACTGATAGCAAACACTGTAAAGACGGTGTATAAATATAATTTAATATTTAAAAGTAAACTTT